AATAATAATGCTAGTGGAAACACCCGCATGCCTTCGTGCAGTGCATTCAAAGAACAGATCCCCAGAAGTGGATTCCAAGTGTACCATTGCTTCTTTGTCAAGCAGGTAGATAATAAGGCATGGGTAGATCTTATCAGAGACAAGAGGATGATAAACTAGGAATTATGGTCTATTATCCCCGAGTCTGGGATAACTTTTTGGTTTCTTAAAAAATCACTCTTTTATTATTCTAAGGCCCTTAAATGAGGATAAGCCACCTGAATGAATATTTGTTGAAAGAAAGCCTTTTTAGAAAGAAGAGTCACCAGTCTCTCATTTTTCTGTTGGGTGTTCCTTTGTGATTATTAAAGGATTGCCCCAGCCAGGCGCAGTGGTTCACGCCTGTTAATCTCAGCACTTTGGGAGGCAGAGGCAAGAGGATTGCCTGAGCCCATGGGTTTGAGACCAGTCTGGGCAACTTAGTGAGACTTTGTCTGTACAATAAGTAAAAAAATTAACCAGGCATGGTGGTGCGTGCCTATAGTGCCAGCTACTTGGAAAGCTGAGGCGGAAGGATCACCTGAGCCCAGCAGGTCGAGGCTGCAGTGGCTGTGAGCTTGCCACAGCACTCTAGCCTGGGCGAGACAGAGTGAGTCTCTGACTCAAAAAAAAAGAATTGCCCAGTGTTTGTGTCTCTTCAGACCATGGAGCTGAACTTTCACAGAGAACATCTCAGAGTTGTATTTGCATGTCAAAGCCTCAGTTATTATCTTTTAAACCAAAAGTCTCTGCCTATAAAATGTGCCCTCAGTTACTGTTCAAAACATGGCATTGAATGCACTGCCAACTACATCATCCACAGGGCTTTATACAAAGTCTGCGAAGCCAACTTGGATTCCAATGCAGAGCCTGGTCAGCCTCTCTCTCCCACTGTGATTCATGACCTTCCCTGGCCCTTCCTACCTGCAACCTCAGATGTGTAGGTTGGTTCTAGCAGATCTGTTACCCACAGGGTTACCACATTTGCATTCTTCTCATTTCCTTGGCTCTAGTTTTCTGTTTTTTATTTTATTAACCTTGTTATTGACTCCTTTGTGGTAAAGTATTTCAAATCCTTCTGAAAAGAGGAAGGATATAAAAAGAGTCTCTTTGTTTGGCATTGTTAATAAATAGATAAAACTTGAATTTCAAAGTAACCATCTTATGGTTAAGTGGTGAGAGCCCAGGCTGTAGATTGAGCTTGACTTAGACTTGAACCTAGGGTGCTGTGTGAGTGGGTCTGAGGCCCACCATTCCTTAGCTTGGCTGTGTGCCAGTCATCTGACTTCTCTGAGCCTCAGTTTGCTCCTGTAAAATGAGAATCATAATTTGGTCGTAGTGTGTCTTCCAGGATTCAATAAGATGTTTTGGACGTTATAAGCAAATAATACTAAATTATTAGTACTAAAGTATAAATCATTGTAAAGTGTGGCTCATATCACTTGGAAACATGTAACCGCTTTCTGAGTTTTTGTCAGGAGCAGATTGTATTTTCTACTTTTCTGGAACCTTGTAACACAGCACACAGAGTTGCAAGACCTGGTCTGAGTTAAGGTTGTTATCCCCGGTGTCACAAGGAGGTGCTCTCTGAAGCTTCTAGCAGGAGTGTGTCTGAATTGGGAGCCCCAAATATGTCCTGTGCCAAGTGGGCAGCGAGCATGGCAGCCCCTGCCTGAGACAGAAGGCCATACTTGTTCTCCATGTGAAGTGGTGTTTTGATGTGTTTTCGTCTACAGTACTTACATTTGGTGTTTAATTATCCATGGCGATGGCAGGAAGGAAAAACATAAAGCCTCCGCAAATGGCAGTCTCTCAGTCTTGTGTTCTTGGATGACACCACAAGTCGATTTTCATCCTTTCTCTTCCCAAGGCCACTGCCCTTGGACAATTGTCATCGTCTTTTCCACTGTACCCCTTCAGAGGCTGGGGTACGGATTCTCCCCCTCCGTGCTTCCTACAGAATTCTCTGACAGACACAGAGCTCAGTGTGTCATTTCTCGGAAAAATTTCCTGTGACTCCCAGCTACTCAGGAGGCTAAGCAGCAAGGATTACTTGAACCCAGGAGTTGAAGACCTGTCTGGGGCCCATAGTAAGACCCCTTCTCAAAAAAGGAAGGAAGGAAGGAAGGGAGAGAAAGAAGGTAAAAGAAAAGAAAAAAAGAATCAACGTTCCTCCACTCTCTGTTGAAATAAGGCCCCACTACTTGGCATGCTGGCCACGTGCTTTGCTAATGCATCTCCCTGCTTCGTGCACACGCACAGACGCACCACTGGGGCTTCTAACATTTAAAAAAATATTTTTGCCTAAAGTTGTTCGTACTATCCTCTTATTTTTTGCCCTCCAACTTTTTTATTTTGAAAATTACAAGTCTACAGAAAGAAATGAAAGAACGTGTCCTTTTCTTAGATTCACTAATTTTGAAAATAGTTGACACATTTGCGCCTTCCTTCTCTCCCCTCCTTCTCGTTTTGGCTGAAGTGTTGGAAGTTGCAAATACTTCCTCTTCCCCCCCCCCCAGCTTACTATGTGCTCAGGGGTCCCCGCTACTGGGGGGCTTTCCTAGTACCGTATTTGCTCATTTATGAAGCAACATTTCAAGGGCTGACCAGTTAAACACAGCTTTTTGGGGTGGGGAGTGTCGGGGAGACTGGCAAAAAAAAACAAATCACATGCTTATGTACAGATCAACTCTAAACCCCTCTTCATTTCAGAAACTTTAGTATATGAAAAAACGTGCTGTTTCGAATCAAAGAAGTACTTGCTTCCCCTTTATTTTGGGAACTACGGCTCACTAGTTTCAGAAAGAGGTGTGGCCGTCCTTCTGGGGCTTCTCACCTCAACGAATGAAACTATAAACAAGCTGGAGTTCCCAGAGCAACTGGAAGCCTGCAGGAGGGTAGGCAGGGACAGGCTTCTGGCTGCTCTGCCGTGGGGAAGGGAGGGTGGGGAGGGGAGTGTTCCGAGAAGATCCTTGAGGCTTCTTAGAACAATTTCTCCCCTGTGAGGTATTGCCTAATCTGCACCATCTCCCTTCCCCAAACTGGAAGTCATCTCTTCTTCCTCTAAAATGAACTCTCAGCAGTGGCCCCCAAATTTAGCAGTGCTTCAGAATTACACCGATCACCCGGGAGCACCATGCCTCCACTGAACCCCCAAAGACTTTCCTGGAATGTGTCCAGAGAATCCATTCTGGGAAAAGCAGCATTTAGGCCGGGCACAGTGACTCACACCTGTAATCCCAGCACTTTGGGAGGCCAAGGCGAGAGGACTGCCTGAACCCAGGGATTCGAGACCCGCCTGAACAACTTGGTGAGACTGCGTCTCTACAATAAATCAAAAAATTAGCCGGGCATGGTGGCGCGTGCCTGTAGTTCCAGCTACTTAGAAGGCTGAGGTAGATGGGTCACCTGAACCCAGCAGGTCGAGTCTGCGGTGGCTGTGAGCGTGCCCAGCCTGGATGACAGAGTGAGACTCCGATTCAAAAAAAAAAAGAAAGAAAGGAAAGCATCTTTTAATGGAGCTCATAACAGAGTTTATTTTATTTTTGACCCTGAGACTGTACTGTAAGGCAAGAATCATACCTGATTCAAATGTTCAAAGTCATCTTTTCAGAGTACTGTGTATAGTGTTCTGCTCATCCTAGTATGAATCCAATCACCGAATGACAGTGTTAGCATTTAGATGAAAGGTGCCATTCTACACTGGTCAAGCACACTCCCTCCTCGCCAGGTGGCTGGCTTTCCTCTGCAACCCTATCTGGAAATATGGCTTGTGGAGGTCATTGTTTTGCCTTTAATGCCACCACCTCTCCTGGTTTCCAGGCTCAAATATCTCACTGGGTACCCCCTACTGGATTTGACCACCTAGATGTTCCCACCAGCATCTTGTCTCCCACACTTGTGTTCCGCCTTTATTTCCAGCCTTGGTGAAGGCCACCACCATCTTCCTAGGCACCGGCCATGTAGTTGGAGCCAGATTCTATACATTCTAGTTCTTTTTTTTTTTTTTTTTTGAGTTGGAGTCTCATTCTGTCCCCCAGATTGGAGTGCAGTGGCCGCTCCCAGCCACCACAGCCTCGACCTGCTGGGCTCCGGCGATCCTTCTGCCTCAGCCTTCCAAGTAGCCGGAACTACAGGTGCATGCTACCACACCCGGCTAATCTTTTGATTGATTGTAGAGATGAGGTCTTATCAAGTTGCCCAGGCGGGTCTTGAACCTGCGGGCTCAGGCCAATCCATTCACCTCAGCCTCCCAAAGCACAGGATTACAGGCTGAGCCACCGAACCCGGCTACATTCTAGTTCTTAATCCCACCTGCCCTTGAAGCCTCCAGCCCCCTAAATTCACCTTGCACACTGCTGATTGGGTGTATCACTTGTTTTCAGGGAAAACAAAAAAACAAAAGCCAGCATTGCATTCAGCTCATGCATCCAACCCTGACTACCTGCTTCTTGACTATAGTGCTTAGTGTCACAGAGCTGGTTCTTGGAGGAGCCTGGTTGATCTGACTCTAGGAAAGTGCCATGTTCTCTTGAGGTTACTATTAAGTTCCTTCTTCCTGAAATCCTTTACTGACTGCAGTTCGGCTGGCATTCCTCCCATGTTGACTCGCATTTCCTTCGGGGAGCTTCTCCTGCCAACGTCTTTTTTCCTCTTGCCTAAGTTAGATGGTCTTTCTTAGGGTCCGTGCATCCTCTGTCACTGAGACTTCACACATCTTCACTATTGATACAAGAATGTGAGTACATTGAGAGCAGGAATTATGTCCTGCTGACTTAAAATGAATGCCCAATTTGTGTTTGTTGGATGAGTGAATGAACAAGAAATCTGTCTGTGAGCAGTACCCACATTTGAGTTTATTCATCTATGTGTGATAAAGAATAAAAGTATGCTCTTTTTACTTTTCTTTAATGGAGAAACTTTGGTGGCTTAGAGCCTGTTCTGGAATGGTAAAACAATGTCATTGCTTTTATATTCCAACAGGAAATATGGGATGTATAAAATCAAAAAGGAAAGACAATATGAATGACGACGGAATAGATTTGAAGACTCAACCAGTACGTAATACTGACCGAACTATTTATGTGAGAGATCCAACGTCCAATAAACAGCAAAGGCCAGTAAGTAGATAGTCGCAGGGGAGAATTCCCACAGCAGGATCAAAGCATGGCTGCACAGTTTAAACACCGATCTCTAATATGTGCATGCAGAGACATCACGTTGATTCCTTGGGCCTCAAATAATTTTTGGTGTGCTCCGTAACTTAATCCTTTGAAGATGCATAAACATTTTAGGGAAAACTAGGCCACTTATTGTGCAATAAAGGGACCCTGGGTCATATTCTTTGTGTGGAGAAAATCATCTTTCATACTATTGGTGCAAAGACCCGAGCACTAAGACCTTACATGTGTGTGTGCGTGTGTGTGTGTGTGTGTGTGTGTGTGTGTGTATATATATAGGCTTCTGTGACTTTGGAGAGGTAGTGAGATTAGCACAGCGGTGGTCTGGAAGCAAAAGAATGATGGATGCAAGTCAGGAGCTCAAATAGGCGCTAATATGCCTTTTGGTGTCTCATACGTTATCTCATCTTGTCATGTCTTCAGTTACATCAAAATAGTACAGATCCTGAAGTTGTCATAAGTTATTTTAGTGAATTAAAAGATTAAGAAAAAACACATCTCATTCTGCCTTCTAACTGCAGACAAATACTGCGTTAGAAATTTTATGTGAATGAACAATGTGCTGTGTGATGCATTTGGGAAACAGTAAAGAAAAAATGAAAATCACATTTCGTGGAAAGGAAGAACAAAGCTTTGGATAATTACAACTTCAAATCCACTTGATTTCAGATCTTAAATCTTTTGAATATGTGTATTTTGTCACTATATATGTGTGTGTATGTGTATATATATTCTCTCGTTGCCTAGTTTTTATAGCATTTAACCTGGAAGCAGCTTATTCCAGGTTAGCCCCAATGCCTTTATAAAGAATTTTCCTATTTTCTCTGGTTTGACATGTTTTTAAGTGCCTTGGCATTTTAGAAATGCATTCTTGTTATTGAGCCCTTTTGGCTGCCTGCCCTCCAGCCTGTCCCCATTATCCTGCAGGTAGGTCACATCCACAACATAGCAAAGTCACATGTCATCACTGAGGCTGATAAGTCAGAACTGGTCTTCTTAAGCAGAAGTGGCGATGGAGAGTGGATATATTAGGCTATTAAGTTGTCGTATGTGATGATCCTGGATAGACAAATTAATGATGTAATTTTTTATATAGAAATATATATCCTCAAAGTATATAAGATTATTGATTGTTTCAATGATCCAGTGATAACACATATAAATATAAAATGTAAAGACCTATTATATAAGTAGGTACAGATAAAGAACATATATAAATGTGACTCACAGAAAGGAAAATAAGGGGAATAGTTTTCTTATAGACTACAAAGTTCTCGTTAAAAAATCTGTGGGTTTTTTTAATCTGGTACCACATACTGCAGATTTTCCATGCTTTAAAACTCAAATTATTTTGTTTTTAAATGATGAATGAATATGCCCTTTATTCAGGAAAGCAAAGCAAAGGAGCACAGTACAAACTTAGACAATTTTTTTTTCTCTTGTTCAGAGCAAAGGAGATTAAAAATCAAATTAGAAAGCAGAAGTAGTCAGCAGGTTGGGAATCTTTCAATTCCCTCATGTATATCATAAGTATTGTAGTTTGTGCCTTCTGTGGTCACAGATGCCCTCACTTCATGAGCCAGTTGGCCTGGCTTTCTTCCATGGCCATAAATCGCACTCTCGGCCCTGGCCTGGTGTGCCAAAATGCATGCTATGGATTGATTACAAGGGAAATCTGGTGAGAGTAAAGTAGAATGGAAGCAAATTCAACAACACTCCACAAAAAGCCATTTTGAGGAGAATTCTAGTGTGATGTTATGGGTTTTGGTCTTATAAAATATGAACTAAACAATTGTAAATTAAGGGCTCTTTGATATTTAAAAATCAGCTTCCTGCTTTCAGGATTATTTAGTTAGTTTCTCATCTTTTAATTATGCCCTCTAAATCATATAAAATAAATCATGGTTTTTAGTTTTATACTAAAAACCAGTATAAAACTTCTTGAAGCAAGTTTTGAAGGCTAGAATGGACCCATGGGTTTTCTGATACTGTAGTCTAATAATTTCCAACTCTCCCTCCCCTTGAATTGAAGATTTCATGGGCTGACTTTCATCAGAAATTTACATTGTAGTACAAACCATTTTGGTCCTATTCTATGAAGTCACTTTAATCAAAGAGAAACAAATGTTACACGGTTTGCAGCGTAGGCCTCTGATAGCGCCTCCCTTACAAGAGACTCTGAGCCCTAGCGTGGCCTCTCAGGGCACTATGAGAAAAAGGAATTTGATTTGAGGGTAATTGAGGGGGCCGTTTGTGCCATCAGACCCTTCCGCGTGGCCTCTCAGGGCACTATGAGAAAAAGGAATTTGATTTGAGGATAATCGAGGGGGCCGTTTGTGCCATCAGTCCCTTCCCAATCATTCACCTCCCAACTAAAATATCAGGGGTGCCATCTGTCCCCGTGATGGAGCCAGGGTTGGCCCGAGAAAGCCTGGATCATTAGGACTTGCTCTCCACTACCAGTAACAGAGCCCCAGCCGAGCATTTTTTAGACGCCTAGGAAACCTGGGGATGGGCAGTCCCGGGCTGAGGTGGCAATTCTGTCAAGTCACCATGCCCAGCCACTTCCGTCTGTCATCTTCCTGCCCTGGTATTTGGTTTCCGTGGCTGCTGGGACTTCAGCCTTCACTTGTTTCTAGGCAGAGAGAAGGAAGCAAGGGAAGAGGAGCACCTTCAGCAAAGCCCCACACAGCCATTTTGCTGACAGATACGTTTCCTCCCTCACCTGCCTAGGGGACCAGAGAGTTTGGAAGTATCGTCACTGAGCTGGGCAGATTACCACCCCAAATAATACTAGGGTTCTGTTACCAAATAAGGGGAGGAATTGCAATGGGGTGAGCACCCAGCAGCCACCGCCCAGAGCCATGCTCACTCCCTACTACCCCAGAGAAATGACAAGAGCCATGTCCCTGAGTTTGTCAGTCGAATGTAGCTCTACAGACTTTTCTCTCTGTATTCCACCTATTCCTTCCTGCTTGATAAATTGCCAAATACAAACACCATCTGCTACCACTGCAAACATGATATACGACATGAATGTGAGTAAGAAAAGCTACACGTGACTTTTTTTTTCTAACAACTACTCTCTCGTAGGTTCCAGAATCTCAGCTTTTACCTGGACAGAGGTTTCAGACTAAAGGTATGTTTGCATAGCCACGTGGTTAGATTTTTTTTTCCTTTCCTGTTAGAGCTTCTATAAAGTAGTCATCCTAGATTTTCTTTTAACTGTAGGAAGATATCTCAAGCATAAAATTTGCCATATTAACCATTTTAAGTGTATGTTTCAGTGGCATTAAGTACATTCGCATTGTTGCGCAACCGTCACCACCATCCATCTCCAGAACTTTTTATCTTCCTCCTTTAAGCAATGTCTCCCCTCCCCCCAACAACCAATGTCCTACTTTCTGTGTCTTTGAATTTGGCTACTCTGTGTGCTTCCTGTAAGTGGAATCATTCAGTATGTGCCTTTTTGTCATGGACTGATTTCACTTAGCACAATGTTCTCAAGGTTCACCCGTGTTGTAGCAGGTGCCAGAAGTTCACTCCTTTTTAAGGCTGAATAATATTTCACTGTGTGTGGACACCACGTTTTGTTGAACCATTCATCTCTGATGGACACTTGAATTATTTCCACCTTTGGGCTGTTGTGAATAACGCTGCTGTGAACATGGCCGTATCATTTCTTAAATAGAGTTAGAATTCTAGTTGTAGGTTTATAAGGCTAACGATGACAAATACGGCACACAGTGTGTCCCGCGTGTTACTTTCTGGAGACCATGTAGACCCTGAGCCCACCAAATAGGAGGCACACGTCCTTATTCCAGCTGCCCTCTCTTAGTGCCTCATCTTATCCTCTGGGCCCCACAAGGATTTGTTAGATCATTTTTGCTGATATATTCTTACAGGTGTTCGTTCCCTTGTGTTCATTTTTAGATCCGGAGGAGCAAGGAGACATTGTGGTGGCTTTGTACCCCTATGATGGCATCCACGAGGATGACTTGTCCTTCAAGAAAGGAGAGAAGATGAAAGTTTTGGAGGAGTAAGTGTTCCCAGCATGCTGTGGCGCTGCTCCTTTTCACGGGCCTCTGAGTCCTGTAGGCTGTCCGCTTATTTCGTTTCAGCCCTGCAGTGATAGCCAGACACCCTTCTTGCGGTAGCGTGAGGCCTCCAAGCCTCTTTGCGGTCAGTAGGACTTGGGCAGTGGAAGGAGTAGAGCCACAGGAATTTTCCTTTTAAGTCTGACTGTGAGCACGCTCTAGGAGGTGTTCCTTTTGAGACAAGCTAGTGTCTTCCTTTATCCAACTGTGCTACCTAAAGAAGCCTGCGTCTGTGTGGCATCTGCATGTTTTTTTGTTTGTTTTTTGAATTGCAGTCTCACTCTGTCTCTGAACACAGTGAACACACTTTAATTGTAAGGCTGGTTTCTTTTGCTTTAGTCTCTAAATGTACTTTTATTCATCAAGAGGAGTGCATTTTCTCGCTGGATTCTGGGGTTCCAGGGACATTCTTTACTCACCCCCCAAAATAAACACCTTAATTGTTGTCATAGCTCATGAGTCTTGTATATAGACACTTTTTTTCCTTTTTAGTTGACAGGGATACAGAGTAATATTTCTAGACATGTAGCCAATGTGTAATGATCAAATCAGAGTAAGGAGCATCTCTATTGCCTCAAACATCTATCATTTCTTTGTGTTGTGAACACTCAAAACCCTATCTTCTCGCATCCTTTTTCTCTCTTTTTAATAGCTTTCTTGAGAATTAACAATACCATGCAATTCGCCCATTTAAGATGTGCAATTCAGTGGTCTTCAGTATATTCACAGAATCGTGCAGCCATCACCACAGTGTTTTAGAATATTTTCAACACCCCAAAGAGAAACCCTGCACCCCTGAGCCATCATCCTCCAGTCTCTCCAGCCTCAGAAATCCACTAATCTACTTTTAATCTCTAAATATCAGTCTATTCTGAACATTTTACCTAAATGGGATCATACAGCATGTGGTCCTTTTTGAGTGATTCCTTTCACTTTGTCTGATGTTTTCAAGGCTTATCCACGTTGAGGTCTGTGTCTGTACTTTATTCCTTTTTACTGCTGAATAATAGTTCATTGGATATGCCAGATTTATTTAGTCATTCATTTGCTGTAGACATGTGGGTTGTTTCTACCTTTTGGCTTTTATGAATAATTCTGCTTTGAACATTTGTGCTCAAGTTTTTGTAGAGACATATGTTTTTCTCTTGGGAATACGTTGTGGAGTGGAATTGCTGGGTCATAACTCTATGTTTTCAAACGCATTTAAATTTTTTATCGATACATAATTCTTATACATATTTAGGCAGTGCATGTGTATTTTGAGGCATGCATAGAATAAGTAATTCTCGAGCTTCTTTTCGCTGTGTATTTCTATTCCAGGCATGGAGAGTGGTGGAAAGCTAAATCTCTTTCAACAAAGAGAGAAGGGTTCATCCCCAGCAACTACGTGGCCAAAGTCAACACCTTAGAAACGGAAGAGTGAGTCCTTCCATGTCGTCATCGTCTATGGTTTTGTTTTTACTGCATTGTATTTCTGGATGTTCTTCATCTTTTTCTTGGCCTGGAACATAATACACCTGAAATGTTCAAATGTCTTCCCAGGTGGTTTTTCAAGGATATAACCAGGAAGGATGCAGAAAGGCAGCTTTTAGCACCGGGGAACAGCGCTGGAGCTTTTCTTATCAGAGAAAGTGAAACATTAAAAGGTAGGAAGCAGTTTAAGGCCTTGTGAAAACACTATTTAGGAAGTTATTTTTAGAAACAATTCTAGAATTACAAAAAAAAAAAGGATGTAGTACGTTCTGGTAGTAAAAATTTTATAGCTCGAGAGCAAATCACAAACTCAAATTATTAGTTTTGCTACTGTAAATAACATAGAAAGTAGGTACATGATTATGGCCAGTTTTTACCATGATTTATGTTTGCCAGGCCTCTTGTATTGTTATTTAGAGTAAATTCTGAAGGAAAAAAAATTTTTTTTGAGTCAAGATCTCACTCTGTCACCCAGGCTGGAGTGCAATGATATGATCATGGCTCACCGCAGCCTCAACCTCCTGGGCTCAGGCAATCCTTCCACCTTACCCCTCCCAAGGAGCTGTTACTACAAGTGCACGTCACCATGTCCAGCTAATTTTTTTTTTTTTTTTTGAAAAGATGAGGTTTCACTATGTTGTCCAGGCTGGTCTTATACTCCTGGACTCAGGCAACCCTCCCACCTCAGCATCCCAAAGAAGTGGGATTACAGACGTGAGCCACTGTGCCTGGCCATAAATCCAGAAAATTTAAGAAAAAGAAAATCAAAGTAACATTTATTTATTTATTTGAACTAGGAAAGGTAGATTTATTAAAGGAAAGATATGTTGTGAAGAACACAGTGGACGGGACAACAGGGAGAGGGTCTGCTGGCTGCTGCCCCAAGCAACGTTTACATTCAGCTAAATAACAATTTTTAAAACTATTCTGAAGAAAATGGGACGCTGGCAAAGCTGCACAGCAAACAAAAGGCTAGCTTCGTTTGTCAAGTCGAATTTGACAGGACTTTAAACATGGCGCACTGTATACATATTTAATTTACATTTTGCATATTTTAAATGGCAAAATGTGTACTTCAGTGTTGTGTAATACAGATTTTGTCCAATACAAGCCTTCACTTTTCCCTCCACAGGAAGCTTCTCTCTGTCTGTCAGAGATTATGACCCTGTGCACGGTGATGTTATTAAGCACTACAAAATTAGAAGTCTGGACAATGGAGGTTATTACATCTCTCCACGAATCACTTTCCCCTGTATCAGTGACATGATTAAGCATTACCAAAGTAAGTAAAAACAGAAGGTGAGACAAGACAGAATATGTTCATCATGATATGTATAAGGGGTCAAACACTCTTTATATTAACATTTTTGACATATCGCATTTCCTTTGGATAAAGTTGGTAGGTGATTTTCTATAACTGATTCTAAATTAATCTGTAGTGAAATATGCAAAGTTAAGAGTTGATCTTTGTGAATAATTATTCTAGTCCTTCTCACCTACTCCATGCTGTTTGACATTCAATGTTTCAAAATCACCAAGAGAAAAATAGATATTGTGTTTGCATAGCGCCTACTTTTGCAATGCATCCAATTATCTGGACTAGGAATGCAGATTTACAGGACCGTGTCTTTGTGTATAGGTGTGTTTGTATAAAAGTGATATGTACTTTCGGTGAAATAACAGTTTCACAATAACACAATTGTGTCAGAAATAACACCACCACCACCTCTGAAATATTTTGAAGTGGCAGGTCATTGTTCCTCTATCTCCTGGTGAAGCCTGGACCAGTGACCTCTGGGTTCATTCCCTTTGTGACTGAGGTTGGTGGCGTGGTTTTTGTGCTGCTCCTTCTTTGACCTTTTCAAAGGAAATGCACATTATAGGTTTGCCTGGCTCACGGAAGATGGAGTGAGCAAGGTGTCTCCAATGTTGAAGACTCCTCCCTCCCTCTGTCCTCCTCACTTGTACATGCATCAGGCACCCGTGTGGAGGGCTGGGGTGATCTGGTTCTGTTCTGGTGACATGACCAAGTCCCCACTGTGGTGCTCTGTGGAGCTGATGTGGGCTCAGTGATCTGAAATCACATTTTATTAAGTGTGTCGGCCTGTCAGCCTTTGATGGTCTGTTGGCTTTGTTTTTTTTTGTATGTTAACTGTGCTTATGAATAAAATCGAGTATGCTTCAAATTGTCTTTTCTTATAAAGATTTCAAAAGTCACCATGAAGGGATGAATACTCCCCATAAGCATTTTCATTTTGTATACTGTGGCAGGTTGGATGTTATAAGACTAACAGTCCAACTTTTTTTGTAGATACTGGTAAAATACAGAGTATTGTGTTTCTTAACCTCTGTTTTCCCTTCCAAATTAGAGCAATCAGATGGCTTATGCAGAAGATTGGAGAAGGCTTGTATCAGTCCCAAGCCACAAAAGCCATGGGATAAAGACGCCTGGGAGATCCCCCGGGAGTCCATTAAATTGGTGAAAAGGCTTGGTGCTGGACAGTTTGGGGAAGTCTGGATGGGTAAGTTTCTGACCCTGGGGTCCATGTCTACTCTGGAGGCAATGATGGAGAAGTAAGGGCTTGAGACGATTTCTGTCATCTTCTGAGCCAGACAGTTGTGTCCACATGGGACTGGAAACCTGCCCACAAAATTATTTGCTTTGACTTGTGCTCTTCCTTGTGACTTGGTAATTCCCTTAAAGTTTATAAAGAAGGAGGCAATAGTAAATTTATCTTGGTCATTTTGTCTGCTCCATCAGGATTCTCTCATCATCAGATTTTCTGGATGCACCTTTTCAGTGCAGGAAATTTGCTACCATCTCAGGGAAAGGTACCCTTGGGGTAGGACCCACTCGCTTAACAGAAAGACCCACATTTATTATAATTTGAGGGTCACCAAGAAAGTTTCTAACAGTGCTCCTCTCATCATTAATGAATCATTCCTTAAAACTGGGAGCTGTGGCTCACACCTGTAATCCAAGCACTTTGGGAGGCGGAGATGAGAGGATTTTCTAAGCCCATGGGTTCGACACCAGCCTGGGCAACTTGGAGAGACTTCGTCTCTACAATAAATTTTAAAAAAATTAGCTGGGCATGGTGGCGCACACCTGTAGTTCCAGCTCTTTGGAAGGCTGAGGTGGAAGGATCGCCTGAGCCCAGTAGGTCGAGGCTGCAGTGGTCATGAATGTGCCACCGCACTCCAGTCTGGGTGACAGACCGAGACTGGTACTCAAAAAAAAAAAAAAGAATAATTCCTTAACGTAAATATTGCCTTCTTGGACTGGCAAGAAATACATGCATACAAATTATAACAACGCCTTTCTAGAGGGGATCTTTTTATAGTGGATGTGAATTTTGTTTGTGAGAATTTTCCTTAATGTTTATTTTTTTCCACAAAAAAAGCATAACATTTTCCTTTTTTGAGTCAAGAGTTCACTGTATCACCCAGGCTGGTACGATTCGGGCTCACCGCAGCCTCGACCTCCTAGGCTCAGGCAGTCCTTCTGCCTCAACCTCCCGAGTAACTGGGACTACAGGTGTATGCCACCACGCCTGGCTAATTTGAGAAAAAAATTTTTTTAGAGACAGTATCTTGCTATGTTGCCCAGGCTGGTCTCAAACTCCCGGTTTCAAGTAATTCTCCCACCGTGGCCTCCCAAAGTGCTGGGATTACAGGCATGAGCCACTGTCCTTGGCATAACATTCTGTTTATGGTTCTAATTGAAAATGCACTTGCTTCTGGAAAGGGTAGCATGTTAGGTTACATGCATCTGAGTGGATCATTTTCTCTGTGCCAGCTTTGTTAAGTGAAAGCAAATGTGATTTCTAAATAGAAGGGCAGACGACTTCTAAAAACTCTCCAGCTCCAGTGGAGCAGAAACTAAAGGCTTCCAGCCTGCTGCAGGTAATCTGTAAAGGAGAGACTTTTCTTCTCAAATCTTGGCCCCTGGGATCACAACCTTGCCTACCTTCTCCTGTAGCCGATGTATCTTTTAAAAATGGCAGATACTGAGCCGTCCTGTAATTCATCCTTACTGTGCTGCCAGTGAACATATTTACAGAATTCAGGTAAACTGTGATTACGCAACACCACATTCTCTGCTCTGGCTGGCATATTTCAGAAGCGGTTGGCAGTGCATATCTGCCACTCTATTTTAATTTCAGTCAGCAGATTTGTGGGTGCAAGTACTCTAGATCAGGTGTCCAACCTTTCGACTTCCCTGGACTGCATCGAGAAATCTTTTGGCTTCCCTGGGCCACATCAAGTAAAGAGGAATTGTCTTGGGCCACACATAAATTACATAATACAGTTAGTGCATAGACACAATAAGGCTTTTAAAATATTTTTGATTATAAAGTTTAGAACAATAAGAACAATATAAAAATACAGGAAAAAATAGAAATACAGAAAAAAATTTAGAAAATTTGGCCTCTTATTTGTAAAACTAATTTATCAGTGTCTGGTTCAATGGAAGTGGTTACAATTTTTAGTGAGTTCTCAAGGTGCTCATTAGAAATGTTCGTTCGAATTTTGCTCTTTGCTTCATAATTGAAAACAGCTGCTCACAAATGTATGCACTGCCAAAAAGCAATTTCATGAATAAGGCGTGATTATGAAATCACAAATGGAACTACTCATGGGGTCATGAAGAAGATAAATGCTAAAAAACTCATGATGTTAGAATATTTTGTGGGGCCGTATTACTAGCTGACCCGGGCCGGGTTGGGCATGCCCGCTCTGGATGTTGGGTCTTCTCCCACACACACTGTTACCTAAGTCAGACCATCACCCCCCTCATTTCTTTATCTGCTTTTTTTCTTTAAATTAACATGAAATTCACATGACATAAAATTAATCATTGTAAAACAAAAACAATTCAGTGGCATTTAATATGATCAGTATTGTATAACCACCACCTTTATCTAGTTCCAAAAGGTTTTCATCACCCCAAAAGGACACAATATACCCATTAATGGTTCCCTATTCCTTCCACCCCTCAGCCCCAGGCATTTCTACTTTATGTTTTTAAGTTTATTTTTTAATTAATTAATTAATTTTTTTGAGTTGGAGTCTGACTCTGTCGCCCGGACTGGAGTGCAGTAGCTGCTCCCGGCCACCGCAGCCTCGACCTGCTGGGCTCCGGCGATCCTTCCACCTCAGCCTTCCAAGTAGCCGGAATTACAGGCATGTGCTACCATGCCCAGCTGATTTTTTGATTTATTGTAGAGATGAGGTCTCACTGCCCAGGCGGGTCTCGAACCCGCAGGCTCAGGCAATCCACTCACCTCAGCCTCCCAAAGGCGTGGGATTATAGGCTGAGCCACCAAGCCCGGCTTTATTTTTTAATTTTTATTTGTATTTTTTTAGAGATAGGCTCTCCCTCTCTTGTACAGGCTAAAGTATAATGGCATGATTATAGCTCACTATAGCCTCAAACTCCTGGGTATATAAGTGATCCTCCATGCCTGGCTAATTTTTTATCTTATTTTATTTTTATGTGGAGACAGGATTTTGCTGTGTTGCCAGGCTGGTCTTAAACTCCTGGCCTCATGTAATCCTCCCACCTCAGCCTCCCAAAGTGCTAGGATTACAGGCATGAGACACGATCCACTTTCCATCTGTATGAATTTTACCAGTCTAGGTACCTCCTGTAAGTGGAATCATGCAATATATGTTCTGTTGTGTCTGGCTTATTTTGCTTATAATGTTCCTAAAGTTCATCCATGTTGTAGAATGTATCAGAATTTTATTCCTTTTTTATGACCCAGTAATATTCCATTTTATGACCACAGTTTGTTAATCTCCTTACCCATGGATGGATGTTTCAGTTGTTTCTACCTTTAGGCTGTTATGAATAATGCTGCTATGAATGTTCATGTAAAAATTATTGTATGGGTGTGTATTTTCATTTCTCTTGGGTATATACCTAGGAGTATAGTTGTGGAGGCATGTGATAAGTTTATGTTGAATTTTCTGAAGAACCGCAAAACTGTCATCTGCTCATTTTTTAAAAAGTCACTTGCCTTATTTTTTTTCCTCCAAGGCATTTGTATTTATTTCTTGATATTTGTATATTTTTCTAAATCCACAGACTAGGGACAGGAATAGTATAATGAACAGTGTATACCCTTTACCTCGATTTACCAGTTATTAATATTTGCTCTATTTGTTTCATCATGTATATATATATATATATATAATATATTATATATATATATGCACACATAAATGCACAAAGATATTATTGTTGAACCACTTGAGAGTAAGTTGCAGACATGATGATTCTTCACCCCTAAATACTTAAGCACATGTCTCCTCAGATCAGGACCATTATTTTACTTAATACAATGGTCATAGGCAGAAAATTTAACATTGGTACATACTGTTTTCTAATATAGAGTCAATGATCTAATTTCTCCAGTTGTTCCAATGTCTGTGTGGCTACTCCTCCCCAACCTAGGGTCACATATCTATGCTCAGTTGACATGTCTTTAATCTCCTTGAGTCTGGACCAGTTTCCCCTGCATACCTTCATCTTTCATGACACTGAGATTTTATAGAACATAGGTCAGTTGTTTTACAGAGTTTTCCACGGTTTCTGATATTTCTCATGATTTGGCTCAGGTTGTGCCTTTGTTAATGGTATCTAGGTACCCAAAGCAGGGCATCCATCGGGGACATAATATCAGTTGATCCAATTCTTGCTGATATTCTGTGTGATCTTGTTGAAGGTGATTCTTTTCGATTGATAAGTAATCTGTGGAAAGCTTCTCTAAGACTGTGTAAAAAAAAAAAAAAACTTTCCCCAGAAGGTTTCAGCATGATCTGCTCATTTCAGATTCTCTTCTCTCTCAGAAACCATCACTTCTCTGTGACGCTCTGGACCTTACTGTCCTCCCACACCCCTTACACACGTCTGTTCTGACCCCACTGACTCACGTCAAGAACCAGGGACTTCTGCCTTCTGTCCCTGGCTTCCTCTTTCAAGGCTTGTCTCTTCACTGACAGTATTAGTATTGGCAGGAAGAACATGACCCTGATCACGTTTAATTGTACCCTTAGTCCATCTGAGTGCGCTTTCCTCTGCTTACTTACCATGACTTTGAGTGGGGAGATGGAGAAGGGAGAAGGAAGGAGGAGAGAAAACAGAATATGAGCGACAGCGTCTGCCGGCTCCGTCCTAGGTGCATTTTCGTTGGTGTTCTCACATGCTCGTTGCAGGAACACCGTGAGCGTTTACCATCATTTGATAAATGCGAACACTGAGAATCAGATAACTAACTTGCAAGGCGGCGAGAGCGTCAGGCTGCTGACATCAGAGAGCCCTGGGGTCAGTGGCTTGCTAAGCTGTTTACAAGCAAATCTGATTTCTCTAGCCTCAGTTCCTGTATCAATGAAACAGGCAAACCGCTGTCTCATCTCTTGTTGAAATGAAAAAATGAGATCGTGGACCCGAAGTGTTTCCCATAGAGTTTGACTCTGTGTGCTTTGTTTTTATTATTATTTCCACTCGTCTGTC